GCACGCTCAGCCGGGATGGACCAGGGGCGCACGCTCAGCCGGGATGGCCCAGGGGCGCGCTCAGCCGCGGACGGGACCGGGGGCGGGCTCGCAGGCCCGGGCACTTACACTGCACGTCCAGCACGTACTGCGTCTGCTTGCTGTGCCCCGAGGGCAGCGCCTGATTCTGTGCCTCGCAGACCACGATGCCGCCGTCGTCCTTGCGGTCCACACGGAAGCGCACGGTGCTCGCCACGCTCCACACCTTGCCGTTCTCCTGGCCGCTGCTCACGCCTGTGCGACCCAGCCCGTCACCTCGGGCAGGGGTCCTGCCTGGGAGCCTCGCGCCCTTAGGAAGTCTGCTCTAAGCTTTGTGATCCCACTGTTGGCCTTGAGACAGGGTCTCAGGTGGTCCGGGCTGGCCTCGAACTCCCTGGATGGCTGAGCATGACTTTGAACTCCTGACCCTCCTCCCCACCCCTCCCAAACGCTGGGATGCCAGGCGAGGGTCAGCACCCCGCCCCGCCCGGCCCCGCCTCCCCCTAAGCCCCGCCCCGCCCCGCCCCGGCACCTTTCAGCTCCTTGCGGTCTCGGTACCAGCGCAGGACCGCTGCGGGGCGCGAGCGAGGGACCAGACAGCTGAGCTCCACCTCGCCGCCCTCCACCGCCTGCTCCCGGACCTCCACCACGGGGTTCTCCGGAGCCACTGCGCGGAGAAGGGGCCGCGACCGGGGGGCACCGAGGTCAGGCCGATCTGGCTGCCGAGACCCCGGGACGCACACAGAGAACGAAGGGGGCTCCGGGGAAACGGGGGGGAACACGGGGTAACGGGGGACCCGGGGAACTTGGGGGGACCCGGGGGAACGAGGGGGCACGCGGGGAACGGGGGAGAACTGGGGGAACGAGGGGGAACCCGGGGGAACGTGGGGAGACCCGGGGGAACGTGGGGGGACCCGGGGGAACGAGGGAGCACGCGGGGAACGGGGGGGGGGGACCCGGGGGAACCTGGGAGGCTCCAGGAGAACGAGGGGGGATCGGGGGAACAGGGGACCCGGGGGAAATGGGGGAACCGGGAACGGGGAAGCCGGGGGAACGGGAGACCCGCGGGAACGGGGGACCCGGGGCGCACCTAGCACGGTGAGCGTGGCGATCTGGTGGTGCGTGTCCTCCGTGTAGAGCTGGCAGAAGTAGCCGCCCTCGTCCTCCAGTCGGGCGTCCGAGAGGCGGATGCGCACTCGCCTCGGGGAGAACTCCTCCAGCTGGAACCGCTCGTCCTTCAGCGCTGCAGGGGGCAGGCCTTGAACCTGGGGCTCTCTGGGCCGAACACGGCTGCAGCCCTCCCCTCCCCCACCCACAGCTGGGTCCGACCTGTTCGACTGCTCCTTGGGAACTCGGTCCTGGCCCCAGACCCCCCGAGGGACCGGGGAGCCCAGCCCCCCAGCCTCACCCCTACAGGACCCCAGGAGCCCAGCCCCCTCACCCCTGCAGGACCCCGGAGCCCAGCCCCCCAGCCTCACCCCTGCAGGGCCGGGGAGGCCCCCCCGCCCCGTGTCGCACGCCTGGCGCAGCCCCGTGGGAAGCCCCGCGTGTCCGGGCGCTCACCCCGCGTGCCGTTGAAGAAGAGGGTCTGCCGCGCGGGGTTCTGGATCACCACGATGGAGCCGTCATACTGGTGCAGCCGGCAGGTGATCTCGGCCACGCCCCCCTCGGCCACCGTCACGTTCTCCGTCTGCACCTCCTGCCCCGTCCCTGCGCCAAGGCAGACAGGGTGCGTGCGCCGAGGTCCTGGGCCTGACCCAGCATCCCCGGAGCCGCCGGCTCGCCCTGAGGACCGCCCTGACCTCGGCGCACACTCGTCAACTCCCGTCCTCGCCCCACAGCCCACGGGGCCTCGGACCCCGGCAACCCTCCTGCCTGGGCTCCCTGGGGGCGGAGGCCACACGGAAGGCGGCCTTTGCTCGTCTCTGGAGCATCGTCTGCGGGCATCGGGAAGACTGGCTAGTGCAAGGGAGAGGGCATGCCCGGGGATGGACGGAACTGCGGGCCCTGGAGAAGTCCCCTGGGGCCGGGAGCCGGCGCGCACGCTGTGGGGGCGGCTTTCACGCCAAGCCACAGGCACAGGCCCATCTGCCGGCTTTGTCTTCCCACGTCTGGAACGCGGGCACACACATGTACACCAGGACTCGCGCGCGCGCGCACACACACACACACACACACACACGTTCGCCAGGACGGCCTGAACTTGGGCCTCATGTCTGTGCAGGGCTGAGCTCACACCATCACGGCCAGCTGCGGACCGCGGTCCCTGCCCTCTCACGCCCCCTCTGCCAGTGTCCCATGCCAGCCCGGGTTCCAGGGACCCCAGCCGGGTCAGCCCTTAGGAGGCCCTTGCCCCTGACCCGCAGCGGAATCTGCCGCAAGAGCCCGCAGGCAGGCACAAGCGGGACAGCCCAGCACACTGACAGCTCTGGGCCAGGGTGGGCTACAGAACCAAGAATGCAGCCAAAGCCAGGCCCTGTACCCAGCCTGGCACAGGTCGGGCCTGGCGGGCTGGAGGCCGAGGGTCGGGAGTTCAGGGCCACCCTCAGCTACAGTGGGTGGTGGGAGGCTGCCCCAGGAGGGAGGGCTGGACCCCGGGTGGGTGACCGGGCAGACCAGGAAGGCCCGCCCTCTGAAGCAGCCTCCTTGCAGCAGTGAGTGAGCGAAGAGCTCCCCCGGGGTAGTCGCTGATCCTCCTGCCTCCTCCGCAGAGGCTCTGCCCCGGCTCAGAATGGTCTGTACCTTCCTTGGCACTTTGACACAGCTCCCCTGCTTCCCGGCATCCTTGCGGGGCCCTGTGACTGACAGGCCCTCCGCTGTAGTCCCGGACACACTTCTGCCCACCCAGTCTTCCTCCCCACAGCCCCACACACCTAAGGTCACAACAGTCGAAGGCAGAGCCTCCCGTGAGAAAGGCCCCCGTGCCTGCTTTCCACGCCTGCCTCCGACAAGGCCTTTCTGCCCAGCCCTGGCTGACCTAGAACTCATGTACACCAAGCTGCCCTCAGAGTCACAAAGATCCACCTGCTTCTGCCTCCCACGTGCTGGGATTAAAAGTGTGTGCCACCACGCTTGGCTTCATGGTACACACCGTTAACCCCAGGACCTGAGTCTGAGGCCAGCCTGGTCTACAGAGCGACAGCCAGGGCTACACCAAGAAACCTCATCTCAAAAAACAAAAACAAAATTGAAAACATCGTCGTCATCATCATAATAAATTTTAAAAAGGTGTGCACCACTATGCCAACTCAGATCTCTGGCTTTTTGTTGACACACTGCAAGTTCAGGATTATCTGTGCTGGCAGTTAGCTAGCCCATGCAGAACAACCATTAGAAGAAAAAATTATAGGTCTGGAAAGGTTATCCTGGGCTGGGGATGTGGCTCAGCGGTAGAGCCCCTGCCTAGAATCCCCCAGTGAGGGGCTGGGGTGTGGC